AAAATAATCCCTTCACACCACTATAAAAAATGGAAAAATTAAGGCTTTTCACGTCATAATTCCATTATAAAATTAGAAATTCCTTTTTAGTGTCATATTTCAAGATTCTAGAGAAACAATAAAAAGGAATTTAATTCATCAGCCAGTTAAAATATGGAATTTTTAAAAGGTTATACAATTTTATTATGTTGTATGATATTAATTTTAAGTTTCCACAGAATAACAAAGACAAAGGTTATTCATGGAGGTGAAAATTCTTCAGGTTTACATATATTTTATTAATTACGTTGATAAAACGTATGATTTGTGAATTTCTCAACTTTAAAAGACATACGTTGATAACCTGAATAATTTCTTTTTACTTTTTGGATGCAATTACAATTAAATCTGATTCTGCCATATGTTTCTATTTTCCCTACTAACAAATTGATGGTCATTTATACTAAAGCTGTTGAAATATAAGTTGGGGTCACTGTACACTTATTGTAGGGATCTGCACTATATTATATACTATGTCGCACAAATCCTACTTACCGTGTAATTTGTGGTTAACTGAGGGTGAAATTAGGGTAACAAAATCTTGTATAGGGTACTGATTTCCGAGCGTTTTGAAAATGTGTACATGTTACTACCACCTTTTAACCTGTACCTAAGTTGAACACCTGATAAAACTGAAATTTTCCCAGAACCTATATTTTAAGCTTTTAGCCATTTTATAGGTACTTTTACATATATATAAATTTGCCGCAACTTCGTACACTATTAAAAAATTAAAGAATAATAAGTAATTAGGTATAGACGGAATACAGGTGCAAATCTTAAAACGTGCAGGTCAAAAAGTTAAAGATCGTATGTTTAGGCTAGACGGGGAAAGTCCCGGAGGACTAAAAACGGAAAGTAGTAGTAGTCTTACCAAAAAAGAGAAGTGAGGTTAGATTAGCTTAACTTTCCACGCGTCAAAAATTTTAACTAGAATCTACAGAGAAGGTTGGAAAAAAAACGCAATAGAACTATTAGGAAAAAGCCAATTTGCGTTTAGAAAAAATAGAGGAACGCTGGAGGTCATTTTAGTTTTACGGTTAATAATTTATAACAACAATTTTTATGGGTCTTTTGATGCTCGTACCTGAACTAATATCATATAAATAACCATATGTGCATGAAAAAGTATTTATTTCGATTTTACAGACACTTTAACTTATTGGTAGAAAAAGTACTTTTTTTCATAAGAAAGCATATTATGGACACAATATACACGAATCAATGATTTCAAAGCCTTCTAATTACTAATCTCACCGTTGCCTAACAATAGGGTGTTTTTTGACTTTCTCTGTTTAATTTATGGTTATTATTTTGGGCGGTATGTAATTCATAAGTTACGAACAGGGTTTGTTTTCATTCGAAAACCTGGACGATACAGGTGACTTTTTTCCCACTATTATAAAATATTTATTTAGACGGTCCGATTATGAGGCCAAAGAATGGCGGATAGACTGACATATGGTTGGAAACACTTACCGTTAGATATATACAAAAGATGTATGTATGTGCTTACTGTTGGGCCTTAACGTGACCATTATTTTCCGACCCGGCGGTCCCTACATTAAATATTTAAAACGCTACTGTCGCGATCACTTTTGATTCGAGCACGTCTAATAAGAATCTTGATAAATCAAAAACCAACATTCCATTGACATTTACCGAACAATAATTATTTTACAATGTCGGACTACCGTATGGGTCACGATGACTTTAAAGGGCCCCTCACAATGATACAGGATCGTAGCCAGGCAAACGCCAAATTGAGCTTGCGGTAGTGTCATAACAGAAACGATAACAGAAGTAAATAGTAAATTTTTGCGGAAGCGGATGCGGAAGTGTAATTACTTCTTTTTGCTTTAAAATTGCATTTTTAACTTAAGACTTATAAGCAAACACTGTACAAAATAATGCTATAGGTAACTGGGTTAGTTGATTTAGGACCTAAACTATAATAAAGTTATTTGCACAGGGACAATATTATTATTAATAATAGTTTGCCAACTGTAGCGTTACACATTGTCGCTTATAGTTCATAAACATTAACAGTTGATAACAATATTATTGTGGGGTCGCTGAAAACTGGCGTAGGTTCTGCCTAACAAGCAAGAAAGTTTGCAACGAGCAATTCCATTTAAAATGTGTTAAATTCAGCCAATCGATAAAAGTTTTACGACTTGTTTTATTGTATATTGATTTTAAGATGAGAAATATAAGTTTTCGTAAAGTTCCATTTGTCATAAAAATGCTGAACCAAATGCAGAAGCGGATGTGAAAAAGTATGCGGAACTTCCGTAATTGCGAAAGCAGATACAGAGGCTGTTGCAACAGTAGCTTGCGATAGCGCTAGTAGGCTATTTCGAATTTTCTTCCCGTAATTTATGTAAGTTATAGGGTAGTGTTATTGCACCAGTAAATAGTAATTGCGAAATCTAATATAATGGTTATTATAGTGAATTAGTGAATGTAGCAATTTCGAATTTCTTAATCAGTATTAGTTCATCAAAATAAGTTTTAATTGAAAACCTATCCCTCACGAATTCACATCATCATATTAGCAAAAATAATCCCTTCCATATTTATATAAATATTCTCTTGTTTTAATCAAAAGTATCTAGCATTAACTCATATGGAAGAAGCGAGCAATACTCAATCGAAGAATGAGTCACTATGCAAAGTTTGTGGCGACAAAGCTTCCGGAAAACACTACGGCGTACCAAGTTGCGACGGCTGCAGAGGATTCTTTAAAAGGAGCATTCGAAGGTAAGACAGTAGGACCACACTGCTTCTTCACATTGGTCAAATTTAACATTTTTTCAGAAACCTTGAGTATGTATGCAAAGAGAACGGAAGATGTGTCGTTGATGTAACTCGAAGAAATCAGTGTCAAGCTTGCAGATTTAAGAAATGTCTCCAAGTCAATATGAAACGAGATGGTAAGCGTAAGTTTCTTTTTGTTATACCTAGATAGCATAAGAAACACAACGAAACCTAACCTATAATGAAATAGAAAGAGTAGGAGAATAGAGAGCGCTGTGGAAGTCAATTAGCCATAGGCGAGGTGATAAGTTGACAGGACACTTTTTCAAACATACAGGGCTAATTAGAGATATATTAAAAGTAGAAATAAGGGCTCATAAGAATGCAGAGTGGCTCAAAAATGGAAGAAGTGCCTAACTAAATTCTGGCCTGAAGACCTTATGATGATGATGATGAATAATATACCACAACGAACTACGACATTTGCATACATAATATGTTTCGGACCCTATAATGGGTCCACTGTTAATGCACAACAAGGTCTTTCTAATTTTTTAACTTATCCTGTAGATACAGTAGTAGGACTACTCTGATGAATTTGTATGAACAAAGAATCCCAAAAACTAAAAATAGGAATTTTTAAAATCTTTTAAGTCGATATTAGTTGTAGGTACATATTTTGTTTAAAAAACGTTCGAGCCCTACGTTCTTTAACGGTCCTGTGACAAACAATTAATATGATATTAATTATTGAATCAATCATGCGGATGAAGATAATAAACTTAAAATATATATAAACAAATACCGAAGTTACAAGCCAAGTACTTGAAAAGTAATTTTATCAAACCCTTTCTTCACAAACCTATAGGTGGGGATTGCATTTTGGTAAACAGAAAACATATTATGTGATAATTTGCTACTTCGCAAATTTCGCAATTTTCTAGCCTTTTAATATTAACCTTAATTATAAAAAAATTAAGGTTTTGGAGCAAGACAACACAAAATCTATAAAAATTATAAAAGTTTTACCTCTTTGTTTACGTGCCAAAAGTGTACATCGCAGAGCATATTTTCGGACATGGACTTCTGAAAATTAAAAAGAAAAATGTGTTATTAATATTATTTTTATAATTTCTGCTGTTTTTAGAAATACATTTTTGATTCGTCTATCAATCAATAAAACTCTAAATACTCTATAAAACTGCAGTTAAACATTTTCGTAATAATAATTTTTGATTATAATCGCCTGAAAGACTATAGTGAGTACGGTTTCTCTACATTTCGCTGTATGATCATTCAGTAGTTATTAGTATTTGGCCTTCATTAGGGGAATTTTGAAGGTGCTAAACCTGCGCTTAATGAAACGTCGAAGAACCACAGCAGTTCCTTATGGTATTAATGCTTTCTATTAATAAAACTTGGTCAAAAATTCAATGAAAAACATTAATGATAGACAAAGTTACTATCGTATAATTTATGCCGATTTGTCATTCTCTTTAACCGCATCATGGTCATACATTATCTCAAAATATGTCGACAACGGTAAAACTGAAGGTTTTGTAGAGTTATCATCTCCTCTTCGAATTTAACCAGGGGCTCCGGTTTTCGGGACCGATCGTTGAGTCTCCTGGTTTTACGATTATATTTCTCCTATCCGGTTGAGTCGGTGGAGAATTTTAACTTTAGGTATTGGTCCAATATTTTTATCCTATAACGCGAAGAAGGAAGCAGTGTCATATTATTCTTTTTGCCATTTCAATTTCCTGCATTTAAGAAGAGACTTGCCTCCTGTTAGTAGAAATTTTCGGGTCAGAGTCTCTCCAAAGGTAGCAATTTTAGGAAGAGAATTACAAACTACATGAAAAAAAACTTACATCAAAATGCGAAATGTTGGTGTTGATTGATACAAATAAACCCCACGACTTTGATTCTCATGTAACAATTTATTAACAAACAACAAAATAAAAACCCTTTATTTTAAAAACTGTTTAGAAGATACCTCTTTTGTATTTCAAAAGCATTTTTCAAAACTCATCGTAACAACTATTTCTTACATCTCTGTGGCGCAATCAATTAACAGCTTAATTTCATATTTAAAAGTTACGTATAGTGGAAAAAGTTCTAGTGAATAAACACGTGTGCCTGATGTAAGTGCGAACAATCGCCGAAGGAAGGTGTAATTAAATTACATCGCATCGATTTCGGTGGCAGTTGCAGAACAGATACTCTATTCATTGTGGTCATAACGTAAACATATTTCAATTAGGGGTAAAGCGGTAGGAATATCAGCTGCAACGGAGTTGAGTGACGCGAGAAAGTTCGGCCTGAAGTAAACAAACTCATCACTTCCCGGTCGGGTGTTAGCCGAAGCGTCGACATCGCGTCGCGGCGCGACGGACGCGACGTTCAGATGTCCCAATATTTGTCGTGGCTTTGTACGTGAAATGCGCCCGTGACATTTTAAAGTAGTACCTTTCATTAAACTTTTGGTAATATATAATTACATAATAGGTGTAAAGTAGAAATCGGAGACTGCGGTAAACAAGTAATTAAACTAAAAAGAGATTCGCCCAAATTTTGGGGACACGTGTTTCGCCCACTTCTTATTAATGTGGACATTATCAATGCGAGAGACAGTATCCACCAAGAGGGTAATTTTCCAAATTTGAAAAAAAAAAATAAAAAAGTAGAAAAATTCATAAAAATGTACAACTTTTAAAGTTTGCAAGAAACGGCTAAAAGTGTAACTTTCTAGAAAATCAAAAAAAAAACACCTCAACTTATTAATAAGAAAGTACCTTAGCAAACAACTAAACAGAGTGTAGATATACTATATTAAAAAAAAAAAAAACCACTCCAAACTTCATCAGACCCCTTGTAGATAGGGTTGTCATCTCTAAAATGGGTATATCCTTTTTGCTACG